TAACTCTCTGCTAAAGATCATCAATATTTTCTGAATAAATAACTGATTAAATTTAAGAAGTCAGATATACTTCAGAGTTTCAAACATCTGAAATTTAGACACCCAGATATATAAGCGATACAGATATTATTTGAGGATATAAGGATCAATATTTTGCCAAACATTTACTGTGGAAAACGGGGCAAAACCGAAGTGAGCAATATTTCTTACAAAAAAAACTAAAGACCAAAGGGACGTTACAAAAATTGAAAAAGACATTTCATGCTCCAAAATTCAAATTCCAAGTAATTAACCTGCTAGAAGAAGAAAAAGAAAGAACTGGTTTGAATAAATAGATCAAAAGAGAAATTAGAAGGAGCACTACATAAGGGTCAGAGAGCACAAATGGACTTCTAGAAGGTGAAAAACCAACTCATCTGTTTGTACTTAAAAATAGAAAATTTACACTTCAAAACTAGATCGATATACCTCTAAGATATCACATAAATTGTTACAAAATCAAATGAAATTTTGAGAGAAACGGAAAATCATTACAAAAACTTATATGCTTAGTAAAAAGAGACTGAAGATAAGATCTTGACATAATCATTCTCCTTAATTCAAAAATAAATATTATCAGAAAATGAAATTATCTCTGGAAGGACATTTAAATCAATGATTTATTATTGAGGTTAAAAGACATGTCAAATTATTCAGCACCAGCGCAAGTTTGGGAATTTACTGCGCTTTTAATAAAGTATTTTGGTCAAAAACCTTGTCAATTTTTAAACCCCGTTCAATGAAGCACTTTTACAAAGGGTGAGAGTTTATTCAACTCCAAAACAAGGTGTGATCACCTAACAACACCAATAAAGATAACAAAAGTATAAAAAATGGAGACCTATATCACTTTTAAATGTCCAATAGAAAATGGCTTTCTGCTGCCAAAATGTCTAACAGAATAAACCTTTTTATGTAGTTGTCTTTAATAAGCAAAGATCAAACAGGATTTATTCAGTCGGTTCCATTGTGAAAAGCGTTAGATAATAGACTTATTCTAATGAAATGTACTGCAACAAAAATGACGTGCCACGCAATGATATTTACTTATTGATTGCCACAGCTTTGATTCTTTCGATGGCATTATGTCAAAGGTTTTAGAGTTTTTTTAATGTTTGGTAGAAGAGCATTACAAGTCTATGGATAAAAATTTTCTACAATAGACATTCCGTACTTGCTGTCACTGTAATGGCCAAACTGGTTCCGTCATCATAGAGGCTGTAGACAAGGGTGAAGCCACCTAAATCAACGCACTATTATGTCAGTCCCTGACAATCAAAATTTTGTCATGCTAGCTCAAATCAGAATATTCTAAAGACGTGAAAGAGAAAAGGAAGATGCTATAATATCACAGTATGCAGTACGATCTACTGACACGTTAATTATGGTTCAGAAAAAATCGAGATAATCCTATATGAAGAGGTCATAAAATTTGATGCTAAATATCTGGTCTGCATGTATAATGATTGAAAAAACAAACTGCAGTTTGGATCGGATTATGGAAAAATAATAACCATGGAATGACACTATGCCAAACTAATTTGAAAGGAAATCCGTTTACAACTCCTTAGGGTAATTATTTTTCGTAACGAGAGCTGGAAAATCTTTGGGATCATATAGAAATGTATTCAAAGTTACTATATAGATGTCAAACAATCGATAGACCAAGCAGACGTATTGACTATTTGGCAAAAAGTTAATCTTAACAGCGAGTGAGACAAATACAGAATATTAAAACTTGAGCATAGAACACTTAATCACCTAGTTTAATAATGTAACAGTTGTATCGTTCCTAGCTCCTACACGCTTTGATTAATATAGAGTACCCGATAATAATATTTTCTCATGGAATCAACTATATCCCTGACTAAAGATAAAAGAAACCATGAAATAATACAATTTCAGACAAAGCAAGGAAACATTATGCGTGTTTGATTTCCTTCTATACTTGCTCGGGAGAATATGGTGCGTTCTCTATAGACAGCAGCCATGTAAAAATGGTTTGATCTACATCTTCTTACCAGCCTTACACTTACATGGTAGAGTACTTTATAAGAGTGAAAGCCGAGGATAAATGCTGTATCTTTAGAATATGTCCTTATTATTAATGCAATGAGACACCTTGGATTCATGATTGTATAGGAATAAAATAAATTTGAAGACATCAAAATATTCGGAAAGATGATTGTCTGGCTATGTTTTCTATATGGGAATCTTTAAATATAAAGTCATGGAAGGAATTTTTATCTCTACTGTTGGTAACAACATAAGTTGAAGATAAGTGGAAATCCTTCATTGATAAATTTACCGTTAAACAGAGGGAATAATATTTTATAAAATGATTTTATGATGAAAATGCAGCTTTTATAACTCCTCACAGAATCAATAACAAATATCTCTTTACCACACACTTTTACAATATAGATAAGTACATATCATTCTTTAGATCATAATTTAGATTCCTCTAACGAATTTCCTCATAAACAATAAAGAAGTAAATCCATTACACCTTTACTTATTAAGATGAGAATCATCAGTGAAAGCCCTGCCGCTAGTTGATACTATATATATCATCAATTGTAAATTTAAATTCTCCACTTAATGACTTTTGTTGTCTACCATAGTCAATGATATGCTTAAAGATCTAGACACATCCTATTTTATGCACTTAAATATATTATGCTTAGCTACCCTTTTTTAACGACTTTGAAACCTGACACGTGATAATATATCTAATGTTCAGTAGCGATAAATCAAACAGAATACCTTCACGTCTGGTCACCAATCACTTGTTGTTTAGATGGTTTCCCACCGTACTATGCATATAGTCTGTGCACTTCTTTCATGTTCAAAACAAGAGACGTGAAACGCCATTATTCACTGCACCGTATATGTTTGAAACTGTCATTTTCCTATTAGGTAGAACATTACTCCTTATGAAAATGTAAAGACATGGCTGAACCAATCTTCCCCTTCGGTAAATTAGAGCTCTAATAAACTTGATATATAAATTCTTGGTAATCCAAAACAAATAAATGCATGATATATAGAATCACAGTAATCACTCCAGCTTTGCAATACTATACTTGTACTAATGGAATCCTAGTAAACTAAAGAATAAACTCATCAAAACGATGCAATTAATTTTCAACTTCTTTAACCTTATAAGTACTATTATACTTGTGCGCAAACTATAAATTAAAGAACCATAATTCTAATTTGTAACGCTGTACCAAACTCCTAATGCGTACTAAACTAAATGTATATACTCATCATAATTACTGGGACCCTCCAATATAGCATTACCTATACACCGACACCAGTACACGTAGCATATAATTAATGCGTTTTGCGCACTAATAGATGTTGTCAATTACTGATATACTTAATGCTGCTATTATGTTTAAATCATGGTGTATCTTGATCTGTGGTTTGACCCATATTGTAAGCTTTCTTATCTTTGTGTATGATAGCACAACGCGAAGATAAATACAAAACTAGCGAACATCCAACTTTGACTCCTAGTGAGAAGCCTTAATTATTTTTCATATAAATATTTTTCTCTAATCATCTTCAAAAATTATTATCCAACAATCTCATTTATTTGATTCCATTTTTGTTTAAGACATCCATTTAAACATCTAATATTGTTAGCCACTATATCCATATATGATAATACTACATTCTGACTCAGTCTATCTATTGACATTCATTATTTAGATGAGACTATCCGCAAAAAGGATGATATTAAATGTAAAATACCTTAACAAGCAATCAAAAATCTTTATTTCTTAATGATTAATTCATTTAGGATAACTCTTCGAAATATACCTAGTATAACCCAAATAACGTAACATTGCAGCCTATCCTTTGGATAATAACTATCATGGCTATCCTTCATTCAGTAACCACAACGATTATGATCAATAAAAATGCTCTTGCATTATTTTGCATATTTAAATGTAATTTTCTAACAGAGAGTACTTGTAAAATATCATATATTCCATTTCACATGACAAGTAATATTACTGCCTTGCAGTTTTCAGCGATAATGCTAAAAGTAACATTGAATGGACGATTTCGAAAGAACCCATGCCTATTAAAAAGCCCATCGAATGTTTTTCTTTAGTTCTGTATAAGTAATAGATACATAACCTAATAATTCTTTTAATAATGACTAAGATTGTATATGATTATAGATTATTGTATGCCCTTATCCTCAGTGAATTTAGTCAACAATTCTTGAATCTAAAACATAGTTACATATTCCTATATAAACTCACTAGTAACAAGAAAAGTATCGTATATAGTGATATAACAATCACATCACTTAGACTGTACGATACAGATTTCTAGATGAGAAAAGATGTTAAGATCTTGTTAAAAGAATGCCATCCAATAATTACCAACTGTCAATACACATTACATTCAAGCTATATTGAATAAAATTACGCAGAGTCTAAAAAAGAATAAAATAACATTGCTAATCTATTTCAGTATTGATAAATATGTAGAAGAAGAGAACTACGAAAATTTTTAGAATTAACTCATAAAACTTATGAAATGATAGTTGATTTCTAAACGAATAAATAGATCGAGCATGTTATTTATCATTAGAGTCGATTAGTAAGCAAATATCTAATAAATCGCCAATATGTATAACTCTTTCCGTAGTGAATTATTAATTTGCATTTAATACTAAATTTTGATATTTGTTGAAATTAAGATGACTCGCTATAAAATGATTCTTCCACGTATATATGTAGATGAAGAAAAATTAAATAAGTTACAAATCGATAATAAGAAGAGACACATTAGGAGAAGAGGATCGTAGTGACTCTTGATATATCAAGGCCACTAGCACAATATAACAAAGTTTGAAATCAAAATACCCTACAGCTTACACAACTGAACAATGTTTATTATTTTAATATCAGTGCTTTCTAACCTGTGGTAAGTTATGGGAAGCCATCAATCTTCCTGATGTCATTGTCAGAAAAGTCTATTGTGTCAAACTGGTCCTGCAAAAATAATACAATATTCAAGTATTCAAGTTCCATAAATAAACAAGTCAAAGAATATCATTGCTAAAGAGAAAAGACAAAGTGGCCACTACCAAAGAATGGACAAAGTTGTCACTATCTGCTCCAAACAAACGACAAACTGTACACTTCAGTTCATGCTCCAATGAAAGGACAAAGTGGTCACTATATTCTCAAAAGACAATTGTTGCATATACAGTTACTGAGTTAGTCAATCAAGAAATTCATTTTAATTTTTTTCTGAGCTATATATCTGTATATGTGATCTCTAACTTCTGTTTTGTGATGGCATATAAACATGTAAAAGACATCTCACTTACCAAAGTAGCTCCCAAATTTTCAATTACAGGAATTTTGTACCCTGAAAAAGATAACCAGACATTTCAAATTAAATGTTCATATTGATATACATCTGTTAAACAAAAAAGAGGTTTCTGTTTATGTCATTCTTTTTTTTAGATTAATTTCTGCTAGAATTTTGTGAAATTCTTTCACAGATAAGGTGCAATTCAAGTGTTTTTTGTTTGTTTGTTTGTTAGGCATTTTTTCCATGTTTTTTTTCAATGAAAAAGGACTTCCTATACAATATTTTTTTAACATACAAAGGATTCATGTAGTCAAATGACACAAGCAAAAACTGATTAGACTCATGAAAATTTTGGTCAAAGAGTCTTTGACTCATGAAATTCTGATCCTACTAAGAGCCCTGTAAGACATTAAAACTAGATAATTGTTTTTTTAAGTTTTTTGAATTTAAATAACCAAAATGAAAGTTGAGTTTACATGTTTGACCAAAAATTACTTTCATGTAGTAAACATTTACTGCACATGCGCTGATTTACCACTTAAGAGGGCACGAATGTATAAGAAAAAAGGCATACATTGTCATAGCTAAAGAAACTTCAGCGAACAGGTTTTATAGTACTATTTACTGTCGCAATGTCAAAATAAAAGCGACATTAAAAGTAATGGAAGCCAGAACTAACATTGTTATTGTTTGAGAGGGGACCAGTCTGAGAGTTTTTGTTTATGATTGAGCATGAAATTGAAAGAAAAGTTTTTAAATAAAGCTTTAAACAGGCTGGTGAAAATGCTCAATCGGGCTTAAGAGTAAGACATAAAATATCATATTTCTAGAAAAATAATTAATATATTTCTTTCTCATTTGTTTTGTTTGTTAAGCATTGATATATGATATAAATCAAAAATAAAAATAATTTGGTTATCTTTCATTTTCATAGAGCTATTTCCATTTTTCCATTTACTAGAAACAAAATATTTGAAGTTCATAAAAATTATATTGTAATGTAAAATTGAAAATAGAAATGTGTCCAACAACTTCATATGACTCTAGATAATTTGGCCAGTACCTTTATTCTATATATTTGAATTAAATATTCTGTTTCTAGCATTTATATTTTGACAATTCTTTGACACTGAACATTATACTTTGAAGTTTTCCCTGAAAACTGAATGAAATGTATGCTAACAGGTGTTGGCGCAATGAATTAGAGCATCAAGAAGTTATTTAACTTATTTTGTTTTACACAAGTTTTGCATATGTAACATACTTTTAAAGGACTTCAAAAATTATGTGTTATAAAAATATGAAAAAGAGGAAATAATTCTCACAAAAGTGACAGTAGCTGAATATTTTTCTTTCTGTTTATGTCAAATATTATTCTCAATAAACAAACAAAGTTTAAAAGAAATATCTTTATTTCATTTCTAGAAATATGATTTTTCATGACATAAGGCTTGATAAGCTCGATCTGGCATTTTCACCAGCCTTTTAAAGGCAAGACCGTAGACATTTTTTAAAATTTTATGATGCTATGCATTTATGAGAAAGAACTATTAGGATTACTGGAGGTTACGTACCACGGAGGATACGTACCAGGAGGTTACGTACCATTTTTGGAGGTTACGTACCACTTATATATTTTGGAGGATACGTACCATATATATAATTTATATAAAATACAAATAATATAGAGCATAACAATTATAAAAAAGGACCGAATTATAACTTTAATATTACTTTTTAAAAATCACATAAGAGCAATTAATATAAATGCAAACGTTTTACCGATATCTATGTATGATTATCACACATTCAGAAATGAGTAATCTAACAAATCACAAACAAATTACAAACTATTCACGCATGAGTGAATACACTGATTTATAATTGCAAGTCTCCGTTAAGTAGAATACTAATTTTTTAAAATGAAATTTTGCGGCGATCAACTTTTACAGAAAGCATGCATGCATAATTTCTTTCTTAATAAGAAAACTTATTAATATTTAATTTCAGGTTGTTGACAACTCGCAATAAGAAGTAGACCACCTTTAAGTTCCAGTAATGATACACGGCACTACGAGTGCTGTAGCTGACATGATGGAAGTCGAGCAACGGCTGGCACATATTTTTAAAAATACTTGTTAATTGTGTATTGTTGTTTCATTTCAGAGCGTGTAACATAATTATTGTTATTTTCATTTTATGCACGGTTCAGTTAACGTGTAAATGAAACTTAATGTAATGAATAAATGATAAAATATGTAACACGTGTTTAGTTTTTTTTATTCAAGGTAAGTAATTTTGTCCGGTATATTAACATGCATATTATTATTGCTTTTGATTATTTTGTTTATTCAGTTAATTTCAGTTAAATGCGTATAAATAAAACAAAAAAAAATGAATAATACTATAAATGAAAAAAAAATGTTTGTTTTTTTATATATTAGCTGTGGTTTGTTTCATTGTACTGTTCATTTCAGTTTAGTGCGTGTAATTATATTAGTGTTATTAATTATTTTAAGTTTGGTGTTGTAAATAAAACTTGTTATTATCGTTAATTGCGGTTTGTTGTTTATTCTTATATATTCATACATATTTAATCTCATTACAAAATACAATTAATGCGCGAATTTGAACAATAAACGTGATATAGTTTCACACCTTATCCCTTATTACTTTATTATATATTTCTATAGTGGTACGTAACCTCCAAAAATGGTACATTTATGCAGTGGTACGTAACCTCCATGGTACGTAACCTCCAAATTCCACTATTAGACGTCAGGCTTGACCGACATAAACTATAAGTTAACAATCCTGTAACGTCTGATAAACTGGACTTTAAGTTGCACACTTCCCGAAATATGTCGGTCCGATGGACATGTCCGATAAATTTTGATCAGGTCCGACAATTTTTTATTCCGGATCGGTCCGACTGTCCGGCTTTTATCCAAGCCGCATGTATACAAAATGGCGTCGCTAAAGGTGTCAAACCTGGGAAAAACCGAAACTCTACGTCAGAAGAGTGCGCAGAACAGCAATAAAAGGATGAAAAGAAGAGACCTGAGATAAAATTTAATGTAAAATGGAGGCAGAACCATGAATCTTTGGTGTATGACAGAGAGGAGATGAAAATGAGCTGTACGGATTGTGCCGATTTTTACGGTGAAAAAATAAAAAACGGAAAATGTCTAAGAAATACTAACGCAAGTTTTTTTTTTTATTTTGATCATTTTTATTTGGTCCGACAGATTTTCATGGTTTGTCAGACCGAATGTCTGACAGTTTTTTTCAACTTTCGGGAAGTCTGAGTTGGACCACTCAGTAGCATCTGATAAGATTTAACTGATCTATAGTAATTCAGTAGTTTGTTAATGTGATGTTTTGTTGAGTTCCATGGCTGACAAAATTCGTTTAAAGAATAAAAGTTAAGACAAACATTAGTCCTATAAATATGACGTCGCTTTGAGATATTTTTGCTTCTGGGCAAAGCAACGTCATATCGAAATTGCTCAAAAACCCATAGCATGTTCCGCCAGAAAATCGGGCGGAACGAAAAACAATGAAGACAGCGTGTATTTACATAAGTTTTGACCTATTTATGAACAAAACTAAAAAATAAATACCTTTTATCAAAATAATTAAACTGTCACATCCGAAAAATCATGATTAAATCCTCTCATGTATTTCAATTCTTTTTACAGCCGATAAACAAATGGCTGCCATAAAGTGCGCGAAATCTGATTGGCTAATTCAAATGCAAGCGTTTAATTGAGTCAGAACAATCTAACGGAATATTTTTTTAACGAAATAATTGCCCATGCACCGTCAGTGTGTTCGAATATATTTTTCCGTTCAAAAATTTGGAATTAATCTGTAAAGCACCTTGCTTAACCAGTATGGCTGATAGACAAAATAGATTGATGTTTATATTTTATTTTAAATTGATAAGTACATTGTTTGAGAGTTTTGGTGTATGATTGAGCATGAAATTGAAAGAAAAGAAGATAAGCTTTTGAATAAAGCTTGAAAGGCAAGACAATAGACATTTTTTTAATTTTTTATGATGCTATGCGTTTTCGAGCAATAACTATTAGACGTCAGGCTTGACCGACATAAACTATAACAAGCCTGTAACGTCTAATATATTGGACTAGACAAACATAAGCTGATTAAACAATTAATTTCCCCACCCACAAAAAATAATAGAAACACGTATTGTCAACGTACCCCTAAGGTCTAACTCTCGATCACGTAAAGGATTTGTGTATTGGGCGGACTGTTCAATAAGTTCTGCTGTGAGTTTCACCATTTTGTTGAAAAGAAATCAAATATAAAAGTAAACATTTAATGAGTATTTTTGATTTTTCGGCAACACGAGTTTTCTATTCTGCGCATGTCTGTTGGAATATACTAATCGCCCGTCCGCCGTTCTCCGGTCGACTGGCAAAACTGGAGACGGCCTACTGAATTTTCGTACTCTTTATCCTATAGTAAATCCATCACATCTAAGACTAAATTCTGATAGGCATTTGGTGGCTGTATCATTCAACAACAATACTATCCAACTAAATTTAGCACCAAAAAATAATACATTAGCCCTTGGACTTTTCTGCAGCTTTTAATATGTGTAAGCACTATAAAATAAACCATGCAAATAACAACTGGGGTGTAGCCTATTCTGACCAAGAAAAAGAATCCTCAAAGATACACAAAAACTACGGAAGAGCATAAGTGCCAGGTGTGTGTATTTATGAACTCGAAATTTCGAGTTACTAACTCGAAATTTCGGCTTACTACGGTAACTCTAATTTTCGAGTTAATTAACTCGAAATTTCGACTTACTAACCCGAAATTTCGACTTATTAACTCGAAATTTCGACTTACTTATTTGAAATTTCGACTAATTGACCCGAAATTTCGACTTAAATATCACGACTTACATTGGTTGCCGGGGCAAGCAAGGATTGAATTCAAGATACTTTCTTTCATATGTAGCTTTTGCACATTGACAGAGCACCTATGTATTTAACAGAACAATTAATAGGATCAAATTGTCCACACAGACAGAAAATATCCTTCCCATTTTCTGTGATTACTTTTTTGTTTGGGGAGGGTGGGGGGAGATAAAATCATACTTTCCACATTTCCATGTTAACCGAATGTTTCTTGTGTTTAAAGCACACATACAACCATCATGTGGAGATACGTACAAGTCCAAAACCCACCCTATTGTAAACTGTGCAATATTCACGTGTTAATTAAGTTTTAAGCCAGTTAGTCTATCACGTTTCTTTATACTAATAATATTTTTGTAACATTTTTTAAAAGATGTTTGTCAATATTCGGTATTCATTTATTTACTCAAACTTTGATTCATATTGTGTTGATAAAAATTTATAAAAGTGGAACTTGTTGTTATGTAATATTAGGAATAATATTGAAGCATCCGATTTTAAAAGAAACATAGTCAGCCAAACAAGTTTGACATAGGCATCAGAACGCCCTATTTTGGCCACTCCGCGGTACTTTCCTCAGATGTACGTGAAGTATAGGATTGTTTTATTCACAGGGATGAGAAGAATATGATTAGTGAAAAGATATGTTCGAACAGTTGGGTTACAATACAACGACTGAAGAACGCCTGAAAGTACAAATTAAAGGAAGCATTGTGTTTTTGAGGCCGGACGTGTACATGCCATTGTCAAAGGTTAACTTTAATAGTTTGCCCAGGCACCCGGTTCTCCATCTCTCATCGTTCAATCGCACTCCCTCCTATATTTCATATTATCTTAACTCTTGGTAACTCATAACTTTGGGCATTCTAGTAATGTAACTTAGTCGAAATTCCGAGTTAATAAGTCGAAATTTCGAGTTACTAAGTCGAAATTTCGAGTTACTAAGCCGAAAATTCGAGTTACTAAGCCGAAAATTCGAGTTACTAAGTCGAAATTTCGAGATTAGTAAATCGAAATTTCGAGTTAGTATGTCGAAATTTCGAGATAATGTAACTCAAAATGTCGAGATAAGTTACTTGAAATTTCGAGTTTGTAACTCGAAATTTCGGGTTAATAAAAAAACACACACCTGGCACCAATGCTCTTCCGTAAAAAACAACCTTTAAAGTGTACTCAGAAATGAAACTTCATGTACACATTTACAAAAAATATACTTAAAATTAAATCAGTCTTACCAAGGATGACTTCAAAATTTAAAATAACTACTTTCTAAACTACAACGGGTTGTGCCTTATTCCGTGTCGGGGTGACACCTAAATAGACCGGTGCTCCTCGCCGGTAGTCCTACATGTGTTGCTGGGTCGTGTGGAAGTAGCATTCATTAAACGCCGCCCTTCCTTGTTGATCTTGTTTTTCATATTTTGTAAACATGATTGAATGCAATCTCTAGTTTGAATGGTTATATTTAAAGCTTATTCACTTCTTGGGGAATGATTAAGGGAAAATCCTGATCAGAGACATAGAAAACGTCTCTGTCCTGATGTACTACCCGACATTAGACTGAAGGTGTTAAAGTGGACAATTAAAAAAAGTGTCACAGGTTTCTGAAAAAAAGTAAACGACTAGCATCTTATATTTCGGGCCTCATTTGCCTTTGATAGTGTTGATGTTTAAAGTTAAAGATAATAATTAAGCGTCACATGTGTCTGATTTACCATAATTATTAGTCTACAGTAGAGTATCTGATTAGGTGAATGGTCACTTAATTCAGTGTACTCAATAATATTGAATTGGTTCACTCATATTTATTTAAGCTCCATTGCAAAAGTTCTTGCAACTTATATTAATCACTTTCCTGACACTATATATAATTAACCAGTACTGGTGTCATATATGAAGAAACATGGTCGTGACCCGAGTAAGGCTCGAACCCATGATCTCTGGATTGAGAAGTAGACACCTTAACCACTAGGCCACTGCTCTCATTGAATAAACTAATTTTAGAAAAAAATAGGATGTTTTGTCAATAGTCTATTGACAGGGGCGTAACGAGGCGTTTCCTGTACACCCGTGCGTACAAACAAATTCTATGTATTCTTAATAAACATCTGCGCTAAAATTTCTATACATTAACAGGCCTCGACACTAACTTTTTTAGCAGGTGGTATGCCGGACCACTAGATTTGAAAGTTAGGTGGTCCTTCCAGAAGTCAGGTGGTCAGTTATCATTATTATATCATTTTACTGCAAATGTACAAACAAATGTTTAAACTTTATGACAAAGATGTATTATTAACCTTTAAAGAGAGCAGATATTTTTAGATATATAATTTTCATCTAATCAGAAAAGGGAGAGCAAGTCAGTAGGTATTTTATCGTAGAGTTATTTGTTTATTTGTTTTTATCTGAGTCAAAAATACACAGCAGAGCTCTTATTTATGTTAACTTTTATATTAATGTGATTTCTCCCTCAACTCAAGTTAGGTAATATAGAGAAGCCATTTGTGTCTGTTATTTTCTTACTGTTATTCAAATATCCATTGCTGATACGTGGTATGTCTTATAATCATGATTATAAATAACATAGCATCTTTTATAGATTAACATTTTTAATGGAACTAATAAATTATCTTATTCTTGTCTTTGAAAACAAGGAAATATCTAAATTATTAAAATAATGACAACGTTATTATTTACTATAACTTATCTTATTTTTCTCAGATATTTATATTTTCTCACATATTTATAATACATAATTTTACCTCCCTGTTGCTTGCTTTTTGATATTCATTTTTGACATTAGGTATTTTTAACCTTTTAAAATAATTTTAACTCTAGAAGAAACAGATCTCTTATCGTTAAACAGTTAAAATAAAGATAAATAGCATAGAATTACTAGATGTATTTTTTCCAGTTCCTTTCGGTTTGCTGCCGTTATTCAAATATCTGAAATTTAAGTTTTATCCAATATCATATAATTACCATCATCGGATACTCCGGGTTGATTAATATGTAACATAACATAAAATGTTAATGGTTCCGCCGTGGTAATCAGACAATGGCATAATTACTAGCACCATTTGAATGAATTTTGTACCTAAATTTATATCACAAATTCTTAACTCTTTAACTTGCATAAACAAAATTTTAGGCGACTTTAAAATGAAAGTTTTTGATGACTTAAGAACTTCTGTAACTAATCAGAGATTAATGAACCTATACATGTACATCGGACATAGATTAATGATTTTTAAACAAAAGTATATAACATGTTTTTTGACCAAAATCGCCATTCTCCCAAATAAGCCTTGTATCAACCAGAAAAATTCAAGTGGTCCGACGGACCAGTGGGTTTTAAAAAATTTGGTTGGGCCTTTCCAAAAAATGGTCTCGGCCCAAAGGACCAACCCCTAATTGAGGGCCTGATTTAAAAATAGAGGGGACCGGGATAAACTGGGGATTCTTATTGGCCTACTGACTCTTTAGGGTTTATCCCAAAAAAATATTAAATTTGAATTTTGAAAAAAATTTCCCAAAACTTTATTTTAAAAAATTTGCTTTTAAAAAAACGGGTCCGTTTTAGATCAACCCGGGCCCCCTACGAAGTCATTTTATTTTTGCTTTCTTTTCACACAGCCCAAACATCGACGAGCTGTCTTAATTTTTTAAAATGAGTGGGTTTTTTATTTTTTTAACCCGGGGAAAAAAATACTGTGTAGGTAATTTTCCCCCGTTTTGGGAAAACAACATGGGTTGCCCTAAAAGCCCGGCCCGGAAAATGGGAAAATAGAATCGAAACGAAAAATTTTTTTCAGCATTAAACATGTTTAAAAGTTTTAGCCTTTTCAAAATTTTTTTTTACAGTGTAACAAAAAAAATAGAAAAAAAAAAGCAAAAAAAAAATGCATTTTTTTTCATAATAAAATTTTTACATTTTCAGAAGGATTGTTTAATGAAAAATTTTTAAAAAAAAAGTTTTCATGATTTTGTAAAGTGAATAAAAAGTTAAAAGTTCATTAAATATATTTTTAACCCCATTTAAAATTAACAATAAATTTTGTATTCTAATTTTAAAAAAATTTTCCCCCAATTTTTTTTTTTTTCAAATTTTAAAAATTACTAAATTTAATAAACTTTTGTAGGTTTTTTTTGGGCAATTGGAAACCCCATTTTATTCCAAAAATCCGGCCCCTGGCCCGTAATGCGTTTTAAAATATTTATTCTCAAATCTCTTAAAATGTGGACAGACATCAAAAAATCGGTACAATTCTTGCCCATTATAAAATTGACTCTATTATTTCATGTTAAAAATTGTTTAAAATTACTTCAAACATTTTTTTTACAATAAAAAATCAACAATTTGTTTAACTTCCACGGATAACGGTTATTTTTGATGCTTCGAGATCTTCTAATTGCCTATGCAAGAACCGGTTTGAATTGCATGCTTGGAAATCCGAATTATCAAGA